GTTTTTTATAATCGTGTGGCATGCTTATTTAGAATTGTCGAGTTTGACTAGGAACAACGATAAATACGTGGTATCATCTAAACTTTTTTTATCAGTTACACGACACGGCATGAGTCTGCGATCAAATAGTGCGCATCCACCGAATCAGCCAATTTACAAAAGCTGATCCAGCAACTATACTGTTACATAGAAGATAAAGTTTCTAGATACAATGGTAAAGAAATAGCTGAATTTACCTAGAAATATCTTTACAGAAAAACTACGTATCCTATTCCTATTTCTTAAGTAGTTTTTTCCAATGCCTGCTGACCTCAGCCTAGCTACCTGAAGGTGAAAAAGGGCCTTTTAAAAGGGGCATGCTCCCTAGACCGTTCTAAGTTTGTTCTAATCGCTCGTTTGCTTTAAGATTCACGACCTGAGACTATGGAGAACTTACACGTATTGCCAACAATATTCTGATCGGACACCTCCCACTGGCTACTTCTTCCTTTTCGACGGTTAGAACCCGCCGTGTTTGGCATCAACTTCACTTCTTCATCAACCTTTCTATTGATTTGGCGTGGTGGTTGCAGCTTTCCCCTATAGACTGTTTACCTACTTCTCTTCAGAATTAGCTTCTCTCTTCAGGAATTGTAGTCGTAGCTTGGATCACACCCCTCACCATCAGCCGCAGTCACATCGACGGCAGCGGCAATCACTGGGAAATAGAACATTTTGCATCGACCTGAATTCGAAATAAATGGCGAAATCAAAAACTAGCTATGACCATTCTGAAAGCCTCCCTATTTTGCTTCCTTTATCTCTGCGTACGCCTGTATCTATCGATACTGCCTGTTGAATTACGAACGGGGTCGGAGTGTCGGGGGCATATGTGAGACTGGACACCAAGCAACGACAAAGCTCAGAAGCATAAGATAGACGCGCAGCAAAAGTGAACGTGGATCTAAGGCAACTCTTACCCCTTCGCCACCGCGATGGCATGGTCGCAGCGTACTGCAAAAGCTACTCAAGGGCACCTGTTATTCTGGCCTGGACTTCTGCTGGAAATATAGCCCATAAGGAGCACAATTGTACTATGGTTTTTACATGTATGATGTGTCTTATTGCTGCAGCCGTATCGTTTTAAAGCAAGTACGTGTCTGAGTTACCCAACCAGAATGAGGTCCTTCTGGGTCATATAGAGTTGTCTAAATCGTTGGTACCTCCATCCTAATATTGCTATACTATAATAGAAAAACAAAACAGCTGCTGAATCATATATATAATTCTGTTCCTATATATATGGGAAAGGCAATGAATGATAACATTTTCACACACTCATCAAACGAATAGATCCATAATCATGGATCTATTCGTTTGATGGATTATGATGGTGTGTGTCGTTTACGAATGTGCTCCTGTACACTGAACTGTTCTACATGATGCGAGATGTTAACGAAACCATGAAAAATCGTACCCATGTTTATGTTTGATGTGTCAAAAACGGCAAAGGCAAGACAACGCTGTAGCCAGTACGAGTGGTTTAGCCAGCCCGTAAAGTCCTTGATCACGCGCTGCTCGTTTCTGCCGTCAGACGGAGCTGTCTGTCAAAACAGCACTGCCATTGCATGTAAGCTATGTCCCACTATAAGGCTGTAAGAAGAAGCAACTCTAATTCAAGTGTATATATATATATATAGTCATTGCTATAGCTAGCAAGGGGGCACCGTCATCCATGGCCAATCCACACAGCGGAACCCCACGCACATTGCAATAGAAAAATTGCATGTATTACCTGGGAACAAACAATAGTTTCGGTGAATGCATATAGCGGTGCAGAAAAAAACGCCTATGGCGCGTGGATCTTTTGCTAAGCACTGCAGACGATACATAATCGCAGAACTATTTAAAGCGATGAGCCATTGTCAAAAGTTTCAAGTATCAGCTTTTATCACAATGTCATTATTAGGGCTACTGCATGCCCCATCCTTGTCTTCATCATTTATTGCGTCTCTGTATAAACTACAGTGATAGTTGTGCCGAGAACTTAGGCGTGGTTTTTCCAGTTTTGAAAAATTAAAAAAAAAACATCGACTTTCATTAGACTTGTGTAATTGAGCCTATAATTCCTTTTGTGTCTATGCGTACTCTACAAATGCAGCTAGTACTATAGATTTTTGAGCTCTCTACATCCGTTAAGCCCTGACAAGTGCTTCTGGTCCTCAGCTGCTCGAAACAATCAGTCGAGCGAACGGTCACGGTCAAGGATGTTATTATTCTAGGCTAGCTTGTTCATCTATCGGCCATCAGCAGCACCATTTTGATAGTAAATGGCCCTCGTAGCAGCCGCAAAAACAGACCTCGTTCAATATACTACAGGCCGGCCGACGAACCAAGTCTCGTTCGCACTCTTTATACTCGACTAGCTGTCGTCGTGCGTTCTGCGTGCGCAGCTCAGTATGTACATACTGTACTGCCGCTTCGGCGTATGTAATAGTAGCAGTTACACTTGGGTGAGCTCAAAGAAAAAGAGTGATCATTCGTTCCGTACGGTAGAGCATAGGCCCAGTGACTGACGTTAAGGCTAACGCGTACGTATAACACTACATGTGTACCTATGTATACCCATACATCGTCTTACAGAAAGCCCTTAGCCTTGTTGCCTTTGTGCGATTTCGCCATAATCGCTTCGTAACTGCAACAGCTTCGAGAACACCAAACAAGCCGATACAGGGCCTGCCATAAGGTGCACACCAGTAGGTCAACTTCATCCGCATTGCCGTAATGCTCTTAACAAAGTGATTAAGCTCTGTCTGTAGCAACATGCGTCCGAGCCAAACTTCCCTGATTGTTAGGCTGATCACTGCTTTTTTCCTTGCTGGCTTTTGTTAAAGATCAGACTTTTGTGGGAGTAGACACAAACTTGTTTTCGAAATTGTTCCGCGCATTAGCTGCCAAGTCTGTTCGTATGTGTTTGTGTCACAGAAATTACGTTTTCAGGGTGCGCTCACGTTTCTATGGCTGCGAGTCACCAGAGATATATATTGCTGTCTCATTAGGGATATTACCGCTATCTAGCCATCGAATTAACTAGATCTGACAAAGGTAGTAAATTTGTGCTGTCTCCTTTTGGCGCTCACGCATTTATACAGCGCTTTCGCGTACGCTTAATTTAATTATCCCAGTTTGGCGATGTTTCAGCTTACAGAAATGTTGATGAGACGGCCATCAACCGTGAATGAACGCAGGTCGAACGTTGGCCTGCAAAGACGAACCATTTAAGCTCGCCGTGTCTATCAGTAGTGGTCATAGGGCCGGACAAGTGAGTCACCTAAATGTGCTGATGTCTTTACCGGGATTTCTCGATGTACCTTGAGACGCTTTGAATGAAGGTTAGTACAACTGGCAACGGACAAATCTACCTAAGAGGGAGCCAAGAAGACAGGGAAGAGCGTTGAAATGCTCTAAAAGCGAGCGGTGCAACCAGACCAAGTAATTCACTTTGTTATACGAGGACGTCCGATATTTGGCAACTGATATTATTACTACTACTGTTTATGCTTCTGCTTGATTTCGGTAGACAGATAGACAGCTAACGGTAAAGGGCTAGATAACCTCAGTGTTACACGCAATGATGGAAGAATAGAGACATCTAGAAGGAGTGAAAGGAAACAGCAAGCAATTAGTGAATGTCTTATGGACTGACATTTGATGATAGAAGGACACATTGCAGAAATACGTCGAGTTTAAGGCTCATAAATGTTTTGTCGATAGTTTACAAATGGAATAAACACAGACAAAGTGATTGTAACAGCTTGCCGTTATGAAGCTAGACTTCTTGACAACGGCTTTAACACATCTAGTTTCAGCTGCACCTCTTAAGGCACTTGTCCAGATCTAGTAAACCTGGTGGCTTTTACAGCGATTGTTCACAACGATGAACCATCATTCCCTTGGTAAACTTTTCGCATCCACATCGAATGATAGGGACTTTTGAGCAGGGAGATGCTCTCTACGACAAGTCAATTCTAAGCGAGCTTGCTTGTTGAGCGAGACTAACCGGCCGGTGACCAAGGCCACACGCTCGTCACATCGATATACGGCAGATACGGTTTTATGTGCAGCTATGGCTATATGCTGTAACTATTCCCCTGTGTTTCTTCCTGGCAGGGGCGTACACGATGATTAGATGAATCATAGCTACAAGTCGGTCTGCCGCAACAGGAGCTGTGGGTTGGTAACTGCCAGCTGCCATTCTAAAATTAGCCCCTCGGGGGCCGTAGGGTAAACCAAGCGCTTTCAGCCAAGCTACAGATTCCGTTCAAGTAGAACTCAAGCGATCCAGGTCTGTTGCTTGATTTCGGCTCCTGAAGCCGCTCCAAGTGCCTGCTCTGAATATCTAGTCCAAAATCGGATTTCGATAATAAATGGGCGCGTGGCACGTGATCGTGATGAAAACCGCATCTACTTGAAGACGTCGTAGCATTCGTGCGCGACAGATACGTCTATATGTTCTTTCTAACTTAGCTGACCGTTCAGGATCCCTTCTTAGGTCGCTAGCTCCGACGCTCCCGTTCTAGGTTCTATGCACCTGTCCACTTAGCTGGCATTGAATGTCGTCCCTCTAAACACGGAAACGAATATTATGTGATAATAAAAAGCATAAAACATATCAAGTTTTGTAGTATCGAGAGGAAGGCGTGTTGTTGGCTGGCTGAATGGATCAATGTTGGGTATAAGTCGAAGTTGTCGGAAATTCTGCGCTGGCAACACTAGTTGCATGCCTGTATGGTGCAGAGAGAAGCAGCTTCAAGTTCAAAGCAGCTTAGTGGGAAATATTCTAAACATCTAATTCCCGTACTTCCGAGGTTAAGAGGAAATTTCTCAGACAATGCTTACAAGCTACAATAAACGTGAAACTCAAAACATGAATTTATGTGTTAGCAAAAGAGAAAAACATCTGATTCAGTACCCTGTACAAAAATTATTTGTTTAATCTTTTTCGGACCTCCTATTTTTAGGTTCTTATGAGCGTTCACAGTGGAGGACAACTCGTGCAATTCGTAAAACGTCTGGAAGAGGTTCGTCTTCTTGAAAGTCGCAAAAGCGCTCGGCTCCAAGACATCGACGTCGATTACTCGCGTCTGGCTGAAGCCGGTCGAGGCGGACTCAGCAGCGATCAGATCGCCGCTGTAAGTTCTTCAGCAACAACTGCCAATCCTCAACAGCAGCAGCAGCAGCAGCAGCAGCAGCAGCAGCAGCAGCAACAGCAGCAGCAACAGCAGCAGCAGCAACAGCAACAGCAAACGCAGCAACAAACTAACGGGTGGGTAATTGTACCAATTTTGACAACATTGTACTTATATAAAACCCCTATCTATACATTAAAAGCAAAAAGACTTTAATAAATCGCCCATCTTTCCGACATCCAATCACCGCGACAGTGAACACTTGATAGTAGAAACTCCATATGTGGGTTTACTTAGCGTTCAGGGACTGTGGCAATTTTATTCAGGTAACATTCTCCGCGACAAAAATCGATGATTTACGGCCGCTGATCCAAACGGCAGCCAATAAGAACTCTCCTTGGTTCTCGTTCATTTGTATTCCCTATAATTGTACGATGTTGCGGTAGAGCGATGTGTCACAATGGCCAAGTCCTCCTAGCCGATGCGATCGACAACAGATTTCACAATGCTATCGCAATTAACGTTGTCCCGTAGGCATCTGTGTTGAAGAAGACGGATGGCCTCGGTCGGTTTGTGATCAAAGAAATGGCCTTACGAGTTGCGGGTGCAAATGACATGTGTGTGTCCGACGGACGGACCTCCCTTGACCTTACCTAATGTGTTGCAGATTGATAGGCCTCAGTTAGCGTTATCCGTAAGGCCATTAAGACTGATTGTTATACATCAAAGTAACAGGAAAAGAAAAAGGGGAAAATCTATTAGAACACTTGAAGAATAAATTAAAGCAAGTCCTCTTTAGATGAATGCCAGATTAATTCGTGGAAAACATGTAGACTAAGCAAACCAAACGTTCCTGTCTGAAGATTTATTTATATTGGTAAGAAATAAATTGGCAAATTAAGGAAAACATATAGATGACAGACAACTAGAGAAACAAGCAAAATTCGTAACTCTATTTATAGAATAACCTCTAAGCCTGATAAGTAATACTATTAATAACATAACCTCAGTGACATCCTACAAGTGAGTAAAGACGGTACTTATAGTGCGTACTTCACTGGACGAAAAAAACACATGGGAGAGAATAACCCAGATGAAGCAGACAACTGAAAAGCTCTATTATACTTCAATTCTAATGCTAAATTCAAAAACCAACTGCTTTACAATGTGCAATAATAACATATCCAGACAAGGGGAAAGATATACGGATAGCATCTGCTTGCCAGCGGATTAGCGGAATTCCGGCTGAGGTAATACTGTTCATATGCTGCATTACTGGCCCATAACTCAGCCTACTTACCTCACGTTGACACCCATTAAAACTGAGAGAAACACGATAACTTTGTACCACGTTTCGCGACGTCAAGGGCACACCGGTACCGTTGATTTTAGCTCTTAGCAATTAAGGTGTCTGCAAGTGAGCTGGCTTTTGCGGACCAACTTATTTCGGTTTCATTTCTTACCGTTTGCTCAATACCATGATAACCTTCAAATTCTTTTCGGGGTCATTTTGACGTTCGCCTTCTACACATTGTACGTCCTTTTCCTGTCCCATTTTGTTAGCGTAAGGAAACCTTCATTTATAATTATTCTATCGTGCTTATTACGCGTTTGGTCTTTTTCTCTCGCTTTCTCTGCTTTCGAGTGGGACAAAGTTCAGCTTTCTTGCCTGATATCAGCCGTGGGTCCTAGCGATCTCGCACTCCTGCCCAGTGGGCCCCATATCGGTCTGGTCTTCAGCTCGGGCAAGGAACATGATCGGTTTTTCTCATAAAGAATGAGTGCGCGGGGCGCTACAGTAGAAGCAGTAGGGACTTTGTCCAACTTTTTTGCGTCCTAACGGGGTCGTCCTTCGAGAATCATCGGCACTGCTGGTTGCTATGGCTCTCCGCTGTCAAGTATTGGGCAAAATGTACAGCTAACGAAGCCTTGCCAGGACACTCGAAGGCAATCGGGTCAATCGAAGCAGTCGTGCGAAGAGAAAAGAATGGTGGAGGGTCTTAGCCGATGGAAGGGCACGACATGGTCACCAACGTGGCCAACTAACAAAGGCGAAATATGGCTCAGATATGAGCAGTAGCGGTGGAAACATTGGTAAGAAAAGCATGAACAAGGCTGCTGCAATTTCTACGAAAGACATGCGGGAGAGAAAAAGGACGAAAGGAGCTGGCAAGAAAAAATGCGTGTTTTGGCAGATATCCCCTAGTTTCGTCAGATCTGTCGCTTCGAAAAGACTGTTCATGTCCCTTGGCGTATCCCGTTCACTTTCGTTTCGTTTTTACGTTTTGTTACAACCAATGCATTCCCAGTACAGTCTAATACAAAAGAAACAATTAGAAAAGATGACTGTATCCTGTGCTAAGTGAGAGTGATACGCGTCAATGCTCTTCGGGGCAACCACGCTACCCTCATTGGTATAATAAAGAAATAGAAGCCATGTAAATACTTTGTCTCTTTCCCATAGTTTGCATGTGAGAGTATTCCTTTGACCATTGTTCTATTGATTGAGTTCGAATGAATCTTCAATCCTATGTTAGTCGTTACATATTTAACAATAATTATTTACACTTTTAGCTAAACCCTGTCATGTTTGCAAATGAGTCGCAGTCTTTTGCTATATATATGTCCTTTCTTTCCAGTCGATGATTTCGGATTCTTGTTGGCCAGTTGATAGAGCAATGTACTAGTTTTGCAATGAACTAGAAAAGTTTCGCCGTTGTTTTTTTCGTGGGCTTGTTCTACGATGATGCCTGGATGCTATCGTCGGATGCATTGATGTGTTTCTTATTCCCTTTGACAGTCCTCCAATTTTCCCTCTCCACGCGATAGCTGTCTCGTTCCCCTTTTCCACTGCATCATCATCACCCGACTCCGCTTTATATTCAGTTTCTTTTTGCTGACGGCCGTTTGCTTGCCCTATATCTATATAAAACGTCCGCTAGAATGGTCGGAACCAGCAGTAATGTGCCGTTACTGCCTGGTTGCTTGGCGGGTCCGCCACTCTCCATAACTTTCAAACGCTTCTATTACTACAGTAATGACCACGTATTCGGCTAGAACTGCGCAAAGTGTTAATAGCGTAGAAAGGTTCGGTAACCCAACAAAAGCTGTAGCGCTGATGTTCTCTGAGCGGTGGTGCCAGGTCGGCAAACAACGGCCCTCGCTAGCAGACGCCGTGCCTGGAGCAGTTCCTTTTTCGTTGCTCTTCGCTCGTCTCCAGCAACCAGCCCTCCCCCTGCTGTGTCCTTCTTGCCGCTTCTTGCGTCCGCAGTTGCAGACGACTGAATGGAAATAATAAATTTTTCGTTAGCGCAAGCTTTCAAGGAACCCGATAAGAAGCCTGGTTGTTTGGCGAAGTCGGGTAATAGTGATGCGCTTAACAGCAGCCGCGGCAGAACACGAGTAGAACTTCGGTCGTAGGTTGCGATGCGGCCACAGCAAGTTGATCGATCGCGGTAGCCACTGCAGGGAAGCGCGTCAACAGCTGCCTGTTTGTTTGCTGGCCGTTCGTTGACTGTATGTTTTAGAAGACAGAACAAAGAAGAAAGAGAAGCTTTGCGTTCGTCTGCCTGAAACAAGTTAGCAGTGAGTCGCTGTGCGGTGTGCCCGACCGAGGCATCGCCTACGACATCGACGGTACCGATAATGATGAAGTATTAGAAGAGGATCTGATCAAAAAGAAGACATTGGGAAGGTAAGCAGACGTTCCATTGAACCGAACTAGGTTATTAGTTAATAGCGAAGTCGTCGCTGGTACTGCATACAGACTGTAAGAGCAGCGGCTCTCTGGGGTGGAACACCGGCCAATCGTATGAACAAGAGCAAGCGAGAGAGTTGTGCTATTATATTATAACATCATCACAACGGGAGGGGTTTGCGGAAAGAATCATTTGCGCTCCTGTGGATTCAAGCAAGAATGAAAGAAGTGGCCGAGAACAGCGGCGGCAGTAAAACAATGACTTCGTAGAGCGTATGCCGTCATAACAACACCGGCTCTCATTTGCTTGACTCTCCTGTGGTTACGTATCGGTACGAAGAAATCGGATTGGCATCTAGGACAAGAACGCGAAATATCATCGTCATCGGGAGTTGGGTCATTGCCAGGTTTTAATGGTGTTCACCCCCATCTCCACGAAGCGTTAGGAATCTGCTGCTGAATACTGCCACCAGCCAGCATTTTTTCTGTTCCGGTGGGAAACATTAGTCCGACTTAAAACATCCCTATGTAACATAACCTTCGTGATTGTTAAATAGCATACTTGCTTCTGCAGCTGGTATTACGGCTTTTACTTCGTTCGCCGACCGCGTCCCACATCCGGTCGGACAGAAATAGGAGCTAAATTGACTATCTGTGAGAGATATTTCATCCGAAGGTTAACTCGATCGGGGTCAGTAAGAAAGTCCTTTTGCCTAGCGGCCGTTGCCGCCAAAACAACCGAACGCATCGTTTCCCTTTTTATACGTCTAGCCCTAACGCTAATAGGAGTAAAAGTAATACATTTTGAGTAGTAGCTTTTGCTTAGCAATTGCAACATTTCATCGAGCATCTTTGTGTCGAATCGCACCGGACGCTATTCGTCGGAGCATTTCCACCCGCAGCGGCTGAGGTGGCAATGGTGATAGCGGTCACTTGTTCGACACAAGATTACTATAATCGGTCAAGCAAACAGCTAATCGAAATATTATACTAACCCAACCCCTCAAAGGAACCATCATTCCGATGGGTCTTGGGGGTAGGTGAGTGGACCCAGGGCTCAATAGGCAACTGGATAGAATGAAAAAACAGGCAGCGAAACAAACAGGGAGGGAACAAGCACGAAAAGCCCTTTACCTATTACTAAATAGACGTCCAATGGTTTCAGCCACTGCATTGATAGAAACCATGACAAGTTTCGCTGCCACATAGCGGCAGCGAAACCCATCGCGCACGCCCTTCTATTCGTTGCGATTCTTGCTGGCCAGAGTACGCGCGCTGCAACGCGCCAGAGCAGCCCTGTTCCGCGCCCGGATGGACAAACATCGTCGGCTTTGACGGCACCGGCAACGTGAACGGCCTCGGCGCCGGCTTCGGAATCAGAAATATCAAAACAGCAGTCAGTCGGGCCAGGTGAGAGGAAGCAGCAAAAAGTGGCGCTGA